CCACCACCCACACACACACACACCCCACCACCACACCCACCACCACCACCACCCCAGCAGTGATTCCATCCCAGCTACTGGCCCCAAGGATATATAAATGTAAGCTAATAAGCAACTTTAATGAAAGAAATACTTGGCTGTGGGAAATAGAGATGGCTTCGTTTTAAAGTTGAAACCATTTAATGAATTTTAGTGCTTAATTTTTTAATATTTGCTATAATAATGGAAAACCACAGAAGATTTTTTTTAAAAAGATTTTTAAGAAGAGTTGTTATAGTAAAAAGTCCCTATAAAATAATGTATAGATTGGGATACAACTATTGATATATGATTTATCTCAAAGAATAAGTCAATAAGAGCCTTTATTATTTTAAATCTAATTGCAAATGAGAACGTATTTGTGGGGAAAATTGAAGTTCCTATGACCAGGATCCTCACCTGAACCTAAACTACCAGATTATGTAGTTGGCTATTGTTAGACTACTGTTTCCACACCCATAGTCAATAAGCTATTATTGACTGAGTCACTACATAAAGAGCTCTCTACCCAGTGCTCTGGGTGGAGGCAGAGATGAAGGAGGATTACAGACCTGCAGACTGTTGGATGCAGACATAATTCTAGTGCTTGACCTATCCCAGAAAAACAAAGCCAGGTAATAAACCCTTTTACCCCAAGAATGTTCCATTGTCACTCTTCGGTCTCACTGAATCCATAGTGAACTTCCCTGGAGCTGAAACCCATGTCAAGAAAATTGTCAACGTTGGCAGGGTTCATTGTTGACTGAGGAACAGAACAGGCTGCCCTTATAGGAGGGGTGCTTCAGCAGGCTGCCCCTGTGAATGGGGAGACAGTTGAGTGTCAGGTGTGACAGTGCATGTGATCTGAGGCATCTTGCCATCTAGAGGGCTGGGCCCCACCCCAGGGCTGGAGGCAGGTGGAGGTGACACCTGAGGCAGTAGAGGTGGCCCTTGGTATAATAAGGAGGTCCTTTGATAAATAGAGTGCCCATGAGGTGGCAGGAACTATGGGTTGGCTGTTTCTCACAGTATTAAAAGTCAACTGAAAGAGACCCAAGAAATAGCATGAGCATGTGAGCTGTGAACTGCCGCGGATTCATTGAAGAACGAAATGGCATTGATACAAGAGGAGGCAGCACAAGAATGCCAGCTGCAAGGTGCTTTGGAGGAAGTAAAAGATTTGTTAAAAAATGAAATGGTGTTTCTGCAAGGTACTGTGGAGGAGGTAAAGGCCATAAAGGAGAAGGACATACCCCTGCAAAAAGCAGAAGAGGCATGTCTAGTTTGGATTAACACTTAGTCTACAGGCACACACCTGATCATCTACATTTGCTCTCTTACAG